GTAATCGATTGGAGTATTGATTAATTCATTATAAAATTATAATTTAATAAATAAATATCATTGAAATTTATACTCACTTCCTGTAATTTAATTAGGGGCGTTAAATTAAATCAATATGAAAATTTGATTTATTAAATATTTGAAATTTATACTCACGAACTAATAGTTATATAATTAAATATTTATTAATTATAATGAATCCTTCAGTTTAATAAGCTGAAACTTCATGCTCACTCTCTAAAAATTATGAACGTGGCTGATTAGTGTATTCATTTATTATGAATAGTGGTGTAACCAAACTGTTTCGGCAATTTGGGATTCGGCATTTGACGAAACTATCGGGTCCACTAATTATGAAATATAAATATTATCGGAATTTATACTCGCTTTCTAAATTTATTAATAAAAGGAATGTTAAGTAATTAAAAAAAAAAAAAAATGAAACGAAGCTTTTTGACATTTAAATATTGGTAATTCTAAAATACACCCATGGTGTCAACACCATATGCGTGCTGCCAAGGGAAAACCTGTCACCGGGCTTTCAATTATATTTTGTGTTCAGTTTGTTTCCAGAGTGCCGTCTAGAGAAAATCTATCATCGGACTTTCAATTATATTTGTAAAATATAATTGATTAAACCGATGATAGATTTTCCCAAGATTTTTATTACATTTATTATTGCAATAATATTATAATAATAAATATAACAAAAAATATATATATATGGTGTTGAACACCATAGGCGCATTTTGGAATTACCGTTAAATATAGCTACATACTAATGATAAAAATACTTTTATTCCGTCATGCAATATCTCTTCTATTTGTTGTCGCCCACCAATAACTTTCTTTGGTACCTCATATAAGTATAATTGTGTTGTATGTTTCATAATGGACTTAAATTGGTTACTTGGAGAAGTCAATTCATTCAGTTCTTTGGTTTCTAAATTACGAAAAAAATATGCGAATATGTATTACTAAAGGAATCAGAAGTCAACGTTTTATTTTCTAAAAATTTACCTTTAAAATCTAAAAGTCTAGATGCGCATTCTAAATCAATGAATAAACATATATTAATAAATAATAAAATTTTCTTGAATTAATAATCCAATATACCTTTTAGGATTTTATCAAGACTAGCACTAGTCTTATCTTTTATTGAGGTTTTATCAAATAAAAATTCTTCTCCTAAAATATTTAATTCCTCTCCTAAAATACGTGGAAGAATTAATTAATCATTACAATTATAAATCGATATCAAGTTATTTACATTGCATTACCAAAATAATCTTTAATGTCTTTTAAAAAATCGACACTATTTTTATGCTTATTGTTGTCACATTTATTGGCAATAATCATAATGGGAATTTTATTGCTATTATATTCACTTGATAGTTCTTTTATTTCCTTTAATGCATCAAATTGAGAAATATCGTAAACAAGTATAGCACCATCAACATAACTATAATAACTATAACGATAATGTTTACATAATAAATAAAATTTCCATCATATAAAAAAGCATATTATATTAAAAATCATGATTAGAATTACTGTAACTCACTTTTTATTTGGTCGGAGACTCCATCCTACAAAATGATAAAAAACAAAGAGATTACTAATTAATAGTTATAATGTCACGCTGTTCCATTTAGGCAAAAAGTGCAATTTAAAATTTTATAAATTGAACTTTTTGTCTAAATGGAACACCGTATATTATGAGCTATAAAATTGTAATGTCCAAAATTCTAGTAATTGTAAAATCAACTAATTATAAGGCAATTTTATTAATACCGGTTTCCAAAAATTCTACTTTAATAGTGTAGTCATCTAATTGAATGTACGAGGTTGTGACATACGCGTGCAAAGTATTTTTGTATACTCCATTTTCAAAATCATTTTCTGCGAATTTAGAGATAAGTCTAGATTTGCCAACACGTGCCTCACCATCCACACCAACTGAAAAAAAAATATTGATATAGTTCATCTAAAACTTCAATACAAAAGTACAAACATATCATACTTCTTAAAAAAAAATCATAATTTTCATCCATCTTGGAAAAATAGTCTGTTATTGGATTCTAAAGCAGTACTATACGTAGGCTTTAAGGACTGCTAATATATACGTATGTACTTGTATACGTATGTACATTGTCTAACGTCGTTCAAGTGATAAACATTTGACCTATATGTGCAATGTGTGACTACATACACTTTGTGAGTTGATAATGGCGCAAATACGGCATCAACAAAAAAATTAGGTTCCGTTTCTAAATATTAGACTACTTATTTATACTTATCTCTATAAAGAGTGGTTGTAGTTTTTAGATTTTTTGCACCATACGTAGTCACAAAAGAAATAAATTTAAACAATCATGACTGAATTTAATGAAAATTCTTCACAATGGAACAACTTGAAGGAAACATACGATGATTTGTTAAGAATTTTTAAAGTACCACCGTTGAAAACAGAATTACAGCGGACAAATGTAGAGGTATTTATTGCATTCGTATTAAAAGGTTTTTACAATTAAATTTATATAAAATTGAAAAGCAATATATAAAACTTATTTAACTTTCATGACGTGACAATATTTTTTCATTTGCATATTATTTCCATGATGAAATATTTTGCTAGTTTAATTTTCAAAAATTAATTTTGAAATTTATTTGCATTTAAGATTTTTAATTGTGGTTTAGTCGTTGACCTTAATAAACTTTTTTCGGATATAAACCCTAAAGTTCAAATCTTCAGAATTTATGGTGATATAGTTCGGCTCTCAAATACTTTAGAAATTCCACCTTTGAATGGCCGTAGCGTTATTTTGATAGCAGCGAGACGAATTGAAATTGAACCACGATGTAAAATAATTGTAAATTATAAGAAGTCATTCAGAATAGTAATATACACTTTAGAAATAACTTCAGAACTTGAAATTATTGCAAAAAACCAGCAAAAAAATAATACATGTTTGTTGAAAGATATTGAAAACATTGGTAAATTATATACTGCACCCTATGACGAGGTCCCTAAAGATATATGTATATTTGATAATAGTATACTTAAAAATCATTCATTCCTTAAAATGTTACGTTACTCTTTACTTATCGCAAGTGTCTTATTTTGTGATAAACTTGAAATTGCACGATCAATCCTTTCTTGGATTGTTAGAATAACGAGAGAATCCGAAGAATCGAAAGAATTATATGATTATGGATTAACAATGTTCACACAACATAATTCAAAAGATAAAGGAAAAGAAAAGAATATTCAATTTGTTCCAAAGCTAGACATGGGCATTTATAAAGACCGTATTAATGAGTTAGTAAAATTTGCAAAATATCACGAAGAAAGATATATGCAGATTCTAAATGATCAGGAAGAGATAGAAATGCTGGATGTATCATTAGCGGATCGTAGTGATATGGTCGAAATGTATGAAATTTTGAACGATAAGAAAAAAAGTCGTCGTGAATCAGCGCATACGGTGATGAAATATATTGAAAATGAGCTTCGAGTATGTATACAACATATTGTTTAGGAATGGCAAAAAAAAAGCATGTACAGTCGCACTTCTTTAAGTGCATCCCGTTGGGACCATAGTGAAAAAAATTAAAAATTTGCACTTAGAGAGGGTTTGCACTTATAGAAAATAAAACATATAGGACTCTTATTATAAGTTGGTGACAAACTGTATCATGCATTTAGAAAGGTTTTATATAGACTTGCACTTAGGGAGTGTGATTGTATTGATTTTTATTTTATTTTAATAATAGAGACGACAAGAAAACATCAAAAGTGCGTTCAATGAACTTGAAAAGGGAATAAAAAATTGGATAGAAGAACAACAATCTGAGGCACAGAAAAAATTATTTATTGCCGTTATAGAATTGTCTTTAAGTGTTGGCAAAATTGTCGTTCAACCCGGTGGCATATTCAGCTTTGTTGATACGATAAAAAAAGTGACTGATTTAGTTCAGGAAGCTTTAGCTGGTGTTGATGTAGAACAAATTGGAGAATTGTATAAGATAGCTACCGATGCTGATATGAAAGAGAAATTTAACCAACTTAAAGACTTAGATAGCCAAGTCGGCAAAATCCAAGAAATTAATAAAGAACTGGAATATCATATAAATAATGCTAATTACTTAACTAGTGATACGAATAAAGAATATGGAAATATAGTGTCCTTGGATATTAATAGTCTTGCAAAAAGGTATGTCAAATTATTTAAACGTGCTAAATTAACTACACGTTAATTAGCAATTATTATATAATATAATCTCTATTAGCCTTGAAGCTCATGATCAAAAAGGAATCCTGTTAAGTACCGAATGGGAATTAACTAGACGTCGAATGGTAAAATTACTTGAATTTGTAAATATATATATTTTTATATCCTCTATAAGTTAAATAGCAACAAATGGTTATTTATTTAAAATATTTCTTCTTTATTAGCCGGTCAAACAAAAGATTGAAAGTGCTGAAAAAAATCTAAACTCATTAGAGAATTTTTTTATTTTTATCGATGCATACATTAAAGCAAAAGTCGAAGAAATTGAAAGTGATGAAGAATTTTTCATATCTAATTTACAAGCAGAAATGTCAGAAAGAAAAAAAGACCGACTTAAACAAATGATTAAAAATCGCGATACAAAAAATTATGCCGATATTAAATTTCATTTAATCGAAAATTTTATCAATGTTAAATTTTGGATGATGATATACATGAAGAATTATATTCGCGCCTACGAATATTGGTCACTTTCAAAATCGAAAATAGAGCTTTCAGTCCTTAAAAAATTTCAAGACCATGAAGAAGATATGAAAAAAATTAGTCACGAGTTAATGAGAGCTTACGAACAATTGGGATGTAATTCTGATCTTAATTGGTCTTCAATTGAATTTAAAGATGAAAAATACATTGAAGAATTTAAACGCAATCGGTCTGTTATAATTGAAATTCCATTGAACCACAAGAAATTATCAAACTATGCCTATACAAAGCTTCACTTATTTAGAGTGTACTTAGAAGGGGTTGGATCGGAAAATGATATAATTAGTCTATATGTTAGCAACACAGGTACTTTGGCTAACAGAGATAAAGAAAATAAAGAATATCATTTTAGATCAGAACCTATTCCAACTACAGAATTTAGATACAGAGTACATTCACCTATTGAATTCGATAAATTTGAAAAATATATAGATCAGGAGCATAAATATTGTAAAATTGGTAATAATAATATTTATATCGTCCCAACACCATTTTGCCAGTGGAAAATTAGTAGCCTTCAGACTGATTTTGATTTGTCTGGTTTGAAATCAATTATTATTCATTTGGCAACCTATTGCCATCTAAAAGATGGCGTTTTATAATTAACGTATTCAGAAATAAGTAGGAGCAAAGAATTTAATTGAATTTAGGATTACGAATGTAAATAAAAGAAACGAATTGGACGTGTCTAATACTTTATGTAGTTACGAGTGTTCTTGATTCTGAGAAAACTGATAAAAATTTAATCGATAATCATTTGGCTAAAATTTTTGATTTCGGCATATTCATGGAATGATTTCATCACGATACTTTATTTCTTTTTATGTATTATGCTTGTAAAGGATGGCACTCGTAGACTTTCTTATTATCGGTGAATAAAAGTATTAAAAAACTATATAAGAAAGTATTTTGTAATCTTGACTATTATATATTTAGTAATAAACAAGTTTGTTATAAAATTAATTTTTTTATTTATAGATTCTAATTACACTTACAGTACTATTATTTTATTATTATAATATACAGTATTAAAATGTGGTTCTTATACCTTGCTGTTTAAATCATATAGAAAATAATCTATAAAATCATTACCAAATTTTAACTACTATAGATTATCAATAAAAATTAGAATTTTATAAATGATCACATTGAGTAATATTCAATAACATCAAATTGAAAAAATATAGAATTTTAGAATTCGTAGCACTAATATTAAAATTTTTAAGGTTTTAAGCATTAGAAAAGATAATAAAAAATCATTTAATATTATAATTAAAGTTGGTATCTTAAAGGCTCGAAATTTTTAAAATATTTTTGTAGACGCTGATAATACTGCAGTTTATCGTTAATTAGATACGAATAAAATTTATACTACATTATTTTAATTATTAATACCAAATAAAATAGGTTTGACAGATTTTAATTGGTATAAATTATCAGGCAGACACCGGTTTATTTGGTCAAGGATTTAAGAAATTAAATTCTGAAGGAATTTTAACAAATGTAAACTACGTAAAATAATGAATAAAGCGTTAACTCCTTTTTCGCTTTTATTCTAAATAAATACCAATAATTATCTACATTGTCTCTTAAACCGTATTGGAGGCACATCACAAAAAAATAATAAAAATTAAAACTAAATAAGATAGAGACAGATACCAATACTAAATAATTATAAAAAAAAAAAAAAAAAAAAAAAAAAAAAAAAAAATTGAATAAACATGCACTTGTACACAACAGAAAAACAACAGAGATAACACAAGTTAAATAATACAAGATAAAGAAGAAAAAAGCAGCAAACTAAAACAGTGTCAATAAGGAAAGTTTTTCTAACTTATGAGAAAAAGTTTCCTTGCATAACCCTCTTAAGAAAGTTCTAATAAATACAAACATGCACAACACAACAGCAGTTAAGAAAACTACAACAAAGGCTCAAACAACTCAGTTTTCTACTAACAACAATAAAAGAAGATGCATCACTTTTGTTGGTACAAAAAGTGAGCAATCCAACTCACACTCAAAGAATTTCAAAATGACATTATCAGTTATACAAAAAGTTATAATAACAAACTTAGTTAATAAAAATAATGAAATACAGATCAGTGTAAATGATAGTGACACAACAAATACTATAAACAGTAATGCACCAGTTAACAACAGTTTGGGTATTCCAGAGTCACAAAGCTCTAGTTTGAACAAAACTGAAACTTAAAATATACAAATAGATGAAACCAACATAGATAAAAAAGACATAGATATAGAAAAAATACAATAATATAATCAATTACATGTAACTATCTCTAATAATAATTTGAATAAATATAAATATAAATTTATATATAGTTAGGTCATTAGCAAAAATATTATAAGACAAAATAATAATAAGGATACAGAAATGTAATAGATTAATATAATACAAGATAAATTAGTAAGTAAAATCACTGAACCTTTTGATATAAAAATTTAGAACTATAACAAAATACTTAAACTATTATAAACAAAAAAAGGAATAAAAGAATTTATCAAATACAAACAACACATAAATAAATAAGCCTCTATATATTTAATACAATTAATATAAAATTCAAATAATTGGATACAGCATTCTTTATTATATTTACTAGAAACAAAGTAACACAATTAATCCATCAAAAAGATTACAAAGCACTACTAAATATATAATAGAAAAATACAAACTGATTAATAACATTATAATTACTAATACACAAATACAGAAAACTATAAAAACTAAGCTGTAACAAAAGATTATTATTAACTATATCACAAACTGCAACTTCAATATAATATCAAAAATACAATTATTAAAATAATGAAATATGTAAAAGAATTTATAAGAAGTAAACTAATATTTGATCTACAAACTATAAAAGAAATTATATGAACAGTATTAAATAACACCTTAATAGTATTGTCAAATTATCCAAATAAAATACTAGAAGAAAAAACAATAATTTCTCCTATACAGATTGCCAATTACACATAGATACAAAATCAGATCAACAGTAATTACTCTACACAAAATATATAAATTTGATATTCTGCTAAAGAACTACTTTGAAATAAAAAAATCTTTTTTAGATAATTCTAAAGATCTTGATTCTGTAATTTAAACTTATTCCCAATTACAGACAAAAAAGAACTTCAAAATCTTGGAGAATATAAACAAAATCTATTAGAATTCTATAACTTTAATAGAATTTCAAAGGTATATTTTAAATTACCTAACCTAAAATCAAGCCTACCTATAATATACTATGAACTAAACAAAAAAATCCAACATTTCTTTTCATTTAATTCTTAAAATCCATTAACCATAATAGAAAAAATGATTAAAATGCTTAGAAAGCACTATATCTTTAAAGTTATATTAAATAACTATATCAAATATAAACCAAAATTACTTATAGACATAACCAAAATCAAAACTAAAACAAAATTTGAATATTCAATCACTGATGACCAAAAAGTCAAAGAATTTATTTCATAAATTATTCTAACATATAGATTTAGTATTCTATTAGATTTACAAATAATGACAGCTAACTTAACAGAAAAATCCAAACTATCAGAAGATCCAAAAGAAATTACAGAGTATAATATTACTTTACCAATCAGAACACCTAAACAACTAGTTGACACAGTTCGACTGCTGAGAGAGACATACTTCTTCTATAAATTACCAAACACATAGATTAATATTATGAATAAATAAAAATATAATAAAAATACAAAAGTATTTTTGTTTGTTTCTTATTTCTGTATACAAATTACTATATAGAACAATATACAAATATGCCTCTTCTGTCATTGAGCAACCTATATGCAGCCTTTATGAGTATTAGCTGGTTAATATAAGCTTTCTATTCTGAAATATCATTATTAATATTCTAATTGTTTTTAGCAGTCATTCTAACTAACTATTTTATCATCACAACTGTCATCCAAACAGGTCACAATTCAAAATACTTATACAACTAGATACTCTACCCAAACTTGCATAAAAAAAAAAGACTGCTGTCTCAGCAGGTTGATCTACTCAAACAATAATAATTTGCAAAAAAGATGAATAGAATTGATATAATCAGAACAAAAGTCAGGTTCACAAAAAAACAAAATTATCTTATTACATTTTTCCAAACCTTACTAATATACTACAAACTAATTACTTTATAATTACTCAATTACTATATAATTATTCTATTATTACATACTTAGTCAATTACCTTATACTAATCAAGATACTAACTCAATAATTATACTTTAATAAATTATTATATAACTAACTATTACAATTACTTTATACTTTCATTCAATCGATCAATCATTAATCAAACATGTGCCTATAAACAGACCTATTATATATTTGATCAGATAGTACATAATTCAAAACAAAAGCTACCTCAATATTTATATATCGAGCAACTATTTTATTTGTCTCTCATTTCTGTGTACAAATTACTATGTAGAACAATATATAGGTTTTCCAAAGTATTATTTGAAAACTTGCAATAATTAATAATATTATACTATTTACAGTACACACCTACCCAAAACTTATACACAATGGCTTAACTCAATTTGTAAAACCTATTAAAGTTGATACTCCCAATTTAGTTGTCTTTACTGATCTTACATACAATCTTATAGCATCTAAAATTCATCTTCCAATAACTTGAATCTGCTCTAGCAACATTTTACTCTTCATAGCTGCTATAGCCTCCCTAATTCTTAAACTGTAAGCTGTAAACTTTCTCTTCAAATTTACATGCTTTGTTATATACTTAATTACCACTATAACTGATGACACTGACATCTTTCCTCTTGATTTTAACAGAAAAAAAGGAGCATTATCTTCTGTCTCTGGTCTCACTTTCCAATACTTAATTATTCTTCTAACCAAACAATATTTACTGTTAGAAACCTTCACTAAAACAAACTTTCCTTTTGCTAAATAATCTGTCTTCGATTTATTTATTTTTATTTACAATAACCCATTCTATAATTTCAAATCTTTCTTTCTTAACTTACAGAGCTTTTTAGAATGCCTTATTGTTCTCAAACCTAAGGCTACTAATGCCAAATCATGAGCCCACATCTTATAACTAACCCCTCTAGAGAAAAGTCTAAGTAACATTTTACAATCTTTACAGACAAAAGATCTCTAGACTACTTCACTTTTGCATCCTTAGCTCTAGTTTTTCATATCATTGACAACCAACTGCACTATAGAACTTTTAGTAGGATCTTGCAAATCTTTCAATTTATATACCCTTGCAATTGCTACTATACATTCTTGCAACTCTACTACATTATGCTCAGACATTTCTAACTAAGCCAAAAAAGTTCCTATTGTTAAGTCTGAGGCAGGACAAGTCATATGCTTTATCTGTCTAGTAAAGTCAATGAAAAGCTTTTACACTCTGTCTAGCCTTTTTCTATAAACCTTGCTAATTGCATTTTCTGCCAAACTATCCACATGTCTCAAGAAGTCCTTGACTAGTCCATCTGAATTGCTATCAGTCTTCAATGTTTGTTGTTATATGATTCAATATAACCTGACAGACCTGGTTGAACAATCTCTATCGGTAATAGCAATTTTATCTTCTCTCTTTTCACTTATACAATCAAGAGCCACCATGGCATCACAATATAAACTGAAAAAATAATCACTATATTGATACCACACTCTTTTGTATACACTAATGAGCAATAAATTAGATCAAATAATAGGTATAGATAGTTTATGCATCTTTTTCAATCTTGTGTAAAGCAATCTACTGCTTCTGTTTCTAAACAGAAATAAAGACTGTTAAACCTTCTTAGTCTTATATTTATATGACTCATAAATTTGTCCACATTGAAATCCCCTATTATTCTTGCAATTGATTTACTACCTTTTGCTTCATCTCCTAATTACCTATATCTACTAATCTTGAAAACTCATTTGTCAGATTTTCTTTGCTTGCCACCCATCTTGTGTGATATATTTCTATATTCTTTTCTATTGTTAACCTACAAAAATGACTATAACTCTTGAACCACTAGACAGAATTCGATAAAACTACTATCATTCGAATTAGCTCACTGAGACAGTTCTAATGAGGTATAGATCATTCATTTCTAATTATAGGATCTCAAGATTGAATTCAATAACTAAATTAATAAGGAAGCTACAATCTGATTGGTTGAATGATTACTGTGCAAAATGTTATACATATCAAACATATAACATTTATGCATTTTGAAGCATCTATATATTTAGTTTATATATATTATTTAGTTTATTTATTTTATATATCAAATATATCTTATTTATTTTATGAATAGTAGTTGTAAAATATCTTGTATATGTAAAAGATATAGGCTATTACATCTACTATGTAGCCAAAAAGTATAAAAGTAGCAGATATGGACCCAAAGTTCAATATCAAGTCTTTGTACTCTTTACTAATGAACTACTACTTTATACTACCCAAATTAAACAGTTATTAGTATTCTCATATACTTTTAATTGTAGCCTTTTTCGTAATTGCAAATTGCTTTAAATCTTCTTTGTTAAGTTTTCTAAAATAAAACACCTTCTGACTTAGTTATAACACAGTAACAAGTAAGGTTACAAAAAGTGTTCACTGTCTAAGGTTACTCTAGTTATCTACTATCTTAAAAGAAGTAGATATAGGATAACACTATATACATTCTCTAAATCTCCCTAGCAATCTTCTTTTGCCATTGTGACAGACCTCTATTCATTACTATTCTTTTTGCTACTTTGTTGTTTATAACTAACATGACTCAAAAGCCTTTTAGTTGGATTTTGAATAACTGTAAAACTCAAAGTATTGCAATAGCTTTGAGTTATGCTATGACATCTGCTAACAAATTTTGAGCCCAAATGCTAGCTACTACTGATTTCTAATATACACCACACCAACCTACTATTAATGCATTCATGAAAACTACTTTCACTCTTGATGGCTTCCACACAGGATAACTATTTCAAATTTTCAAGTTCTTTACAAGCCATTGTATATTTTTTATTGCTTGTATCGATAGTGTAATCTTTATATTTCAATTGTTCCAACAACAGCTTCTTGCATCTATCAGTTTGTAAAATTCTAGACACTTCACCTAGACTGGAGAAAAGGCTCTTGCTAGACTTTGGATCCTTATAGCTACCAATGCCAGCTTTCTTATTGATATGACTAACCTCTCTAACAAATCTTTCAGCTGCACAACCATAGTAGCAATCTTCTCTTCTGGAGCAACAACTAGTCTCTTCACTATGTCTACAATAAGGCCACAAAATCTTGGCTTCTGAATTAGATTCCAACTTCCTTTTTTTTTTACTTAAATTCAACCACATTCTTTCAAATTCCTTGCTATAACCAAGTCTCTTTGATTTGCAATGTCTCTTTTAACAGATGTGCCATTTATACATCATTTAGGTAATTCTTACAGAAAATTCTCCTTGATTCAACTTCCTATCATCACCTTTATTAACTTGGTGAAAATCCACAGGGACTGATTTAGGCTAAAAGGTAGAACTCTGTAATAAAACCACATTTTCTTGAAGCAAAACCCTAGAAACCATTATGCCATATTGTTCATCAATATGTAGTAGTAACCCTTTTTTAGATCAATGGTTAATACCTACCAATTCCTGCCTACAGTTCTCAATAGTGAATCTATACTTTTGAACTTGAACATCATTTTTAGAAGAGTTTTGTTCAACCTCCTAAGATTTATCACAAAATGAAATTTCTTTGGCTCTTGTTTGGGCCTACCTCAAGCAGCATTTCTGGTCTCTACTTGCCTTGAAACACTAGCTTTATCACACTAGCTTTTCTCAACCTTTCCAACTCACCCTCCATCCATTCTTTTTCTTCTATTAAAAATAGCTATGATCTTGGAACTTTTTGTGTTGCAAGACTCATAACATCTTTTGAAAAGAGAGAAATTTTGTTTTCCAACCAGTTTACTAACAACAGAGCAGGTTTATTACCTTCTTTCAATACTTTATTGCTGCTTCTGAATGTAACCTTCCTGTTACATATTCTTTATTGCAGCCTACTAACACCACTCTTTCTTCTCTTGAATTTATTTACTGAGCATTGTTAGCTTCTTTTTGGCATTGACCTGTCATCTCGAAAAGGCATACTTAAATTCTTACAAGAACCATACTTATTTGCATAATACTTCTTTTCTTTATACAAAAAACAAACAACTTCCTTTGCTGACTCAATTTTCTACTTCCATCTAAGCCTGACATAGACAAAAACTTATCATTCTGCTTTACATTTCCTGATTCTAAAAGCAGACTCTGTAAAAGCCTACTCTGAAATAAAACCTGTCTAGCACTACAAGAATTTATACCACCAAATGCAAACCCAAAAGTGGTCACTGCTACATTTTGCAAATTAGACACCTGTTGCCAGGTTGGCATCATTGACAGATGTGCCTGCAAAAAAACAGAAGTAATAGGTTGACCCTGTTGTAAGTTTGATATACAGTCTTGAAAACTACTTCTCTTACTCTTAAATTTTTAAGTTTTGTTATAACTGGCCTTAGGTTTCTTATTCTTTAATGAACTTTAAGCTGCCAGTCTTGTCTTTTTTCTTTTTTCTTTAAACAGTTGTGATATTGAAGCTAGCAAATCATTCAAAGCCATCTTTGCAGCTACACCCCAACTATTCTCATTTGCAACTCTGACCATGTATACTCTCTTCAATGCTATCTGTCTAGCTAACAACAAATAATCAATCTCTTCTGTACTCAAGGCCTTATCCATTAGCATACCAGCCTCGCACTACTTATTAAATTCCCACTAATTTCTTGCTTTTGACAAGCTATACTTCCTTCACAAACCTGAATCCTTATTTTCACAATCTGGCATGAACCTTTTTCTTGTTCCAGAAAACTGCAAAGACTGTTTAAAACTAGGTGTTTTCTCTTTCAGGCTTTCATCAATACAATTACTACAGCTGACTATGTGGCTATAATTATAAGCATTTGGAAATAACTCAAAATCTTCCATCTTATTTTCTATGTTCACAGCCTTTTTTTTTTTGCAAACAACTTATCAGATGACTTTTCGTTCTTTTTATATTCATTAACCAATCTACTAACCAACTTCTGTTCCAGACTAGCATCAGAAATACCCATCTTTTGATACAAAAACTTTAATATCTCAAGAGAAAGTTAGCCAAAATTTGATTTGAAATTGACTTGGCTATGTAATGGTTCTACATCACTAGTAGGCTGCATCATCTTCTCTTCATCTGTAGTTACCTTATTTCTATTTAGATGCTAGCTATACAAACCAAATTATCAAAATGAAATTTCTCCAAACTGATAATATTCAAATACAATTTTCAAGACTAAACTTATTCAAAAGAAAATAAAAATGTTACTAAAATAAATAAACAGAATTTTCTAAAACTGATAATATTTGTGCTTGATGTAATCAGAATGAAAGTCAAATTCACAGAAAAGACATAATTATCTTATCATATTTTCTTAAACCTTTCTAATATACTACAAACTAATTATCTTATAATTACTCAATTACTATATAATTACTCTATTATTACATACTTACTCAATTACCTTATACTAACCAAAATACTAACTTAATGATCATACTTCAATCAATTATCATATAACTAACTATTCCAATTACCTTATACTTTCATTTGATCAATTAATCATCGATCAAACATGTGACTGTAAACAGACCTATCACATGTTCGATCAGATAGTACATGATTTAAGACAAAGGCTGCCTCGATACTTATATATTAAGCAGCTATTATTAATTAAACAAAGCCAGATTTAAAGTCAGACTTGCTACAATCATGCAAAAAAATCCTTCAAGCATTCATAGAAAAACAAATTGAAACTACAGAAATTATACTACTCATCATATAACAAAACTAAGTTAAACTAATTTTCAACAAACTTAGAGAACACTTTATAGTCAACAACATATCTGACTACCTACTCCAATTACTACTACTCTCAAAACCAACATGAAATAGTTTAGCAATGCACCTGTTCATATGCAGTTTCAATAAAAATAAAAACATCAACAATAATATTAACAACAACAACAATATACAAAACAACCTACTATTACAAACAACAAATAATAATATTATTATTATTCAAATGCAGAAAATAAAAAAGGCTCAATTTTGCTCAAGCTCAATTTGAATGAAAATCTACAAAGCAACATTAACTGGTTCTTAACTTTATAATACATATTATATAAAGAAAACTCTTAGCATTAACAACTGATCCATCTTTATCTATACTAAAAAACTTCAAAATCATATTACTATCTGAAGAACTATCCACTCACCTTCTTATTTATTAGAGAAATGCTACTAAATATTCAAATTACTTTTGTTTAAAATACTATAATGCTTCTGAAGACATTATATATCTAAATTGCCTTCAAAACTATTTATGCTTTTCAACTTTAATAAGGCAGGCAGTGCATTAAACCTTAAATGATCTAGAAATATCTAGTTATAATACAAATAGTTTTATCTATACTTTTATATCAAATTACATCAATAAGCAAATACTATTAGATATAATAACTAACAGCACTTTGGTGCCTTTTGAAAATAATAAATACAAACTTAAATACACTCTTTTTATTCATCACAATATCATCTTTACAATATATAAAGAAATTTGGCTCTTATCTAGAGTAATACAATATAATTTCTTTCATCCAACTCTATTACTATTACAACTTTCAGAATTAGCTAAAACTAAACTAATTTTATCTTTTTTATTAAACAAAAAAATAAATTATTACATTATATATGAACAATTTTTTCTTAGTTATCTTATTATAAACTAAAGATCTACTGACCATTTTAGCAAAAAATAAATTAAGAGTAAAGTAGCTTTTATCTTTATTTCCTTTAGTTTAGTTTATTTAACATGTATCTTATATATATAAATTAACTAATTAATAAAAGAGATAAAATAGACCTCTCTTTAAAAAAAAAAAATTAAAAAAATTGTATTAGAGACAAATTTATCTCAAATTTTAAAAAGTATTTAGAATTTTTAAATAAGCCAAAAAATTATTAATAATATGGGATATATTTTATATATGAAAATTTTATTTAAAACTTATTTTATAAACTTTGTTATAATATTTTTTAAAATTATTAAAAATTTTTTAGGCAATAAAATTTTTAAATTTTTATTTAAAGATTTTTAATATTTTTTTTTAACTTTGGTAATAATGTCAGTTGGTTTATTAAGCATTTTAATTAGTATAATACAAGTTTTACAGTTATATATTTAGAATCGATATACTAGTACTATATTTGGTATCTAATATTATACTACTGACTTCACCTAGTTACCCATATAGCATCTAAGTGCATGTTCACATGCAGTTACCTTGGCAACTACTTGTAGTCAGAGCATACTATTAAACTGCTACACAGATAGGAATATTTACTGAACTTAATATGATATTCTAATTGTTATAGATACTGTCATCTATAATCATATTTATGTGTTTTACTTATATGTTTTACCTAGTCTTATTTTTTCTACCTTCTAATCTAACTATCTAGTAATACTTTATTTTCTATATTTCTTACCTTTTTGTCATTATACTATTTTCAAATTGGTCCTACTTAGATATGTCTAATCTTTTTGATCTTCTATCATTAGTATGCCTATTATTAATTCTCCTAAGGTGTTCTGACAGTAGTCTAGGATCTACAATAAACTCATATTTCAAGTTAGACCTGCTGTCACCATTGGTTTTTTGACCAATCTATATCTCAAGTCAGGTTTGCTGCTACTATTTTTGCAGATGCTCTAGGTCTTAGCATCATACAGTAACTCAGTGCTAAATTTAACTTTTAACAAGATGCTTTCTTCTATAATAAAGACTGAAACTTATTGTACTTACAAACAGGACAATTCTGATTATATTTAGAAAGTTTTTCTAACTTTAGTAATATTATACTACTATATATTACAAGCTTTTAGCTTATTTAATAATATTTGCAGAATAAGTTTGGTTATGTCTAAAAAGTTATATTGGCCCCAGTAATGCTATACTACCTTGCAAATCTTATCGAACATTGGTTGGTTAATCTCAGTTTTGTTCATTATAGACTTTTATATAGGTATAACCAGGACCTAATTTAGTGTCTTTATACTGCACAAAGAAGTTATATGCCAACCTTCAAGATTTTTTCTTCAATAATTAGACTATTTGGCTATGTTAAAGATGCTTTTAATTTTGGTTAGACCAATTCTTTATCACAAGTTGTCCTTATGTTCTTTGCTTCTCTTATTATTTTAGTTTTAGTTATTTCAGACTATTTTCCTAATCAAATCCTCTTCTTCAATCCTAATTAGAACTTATTTACACAATCTGTTAATTATCTTTCCAAGCAAGTACTCTACAAGTTGAGTACAAAGATATTAGTACTGCCTATATTAGAAGGTGTAAGAATGTTGGTGCTGCCTTAGTCTAAAGAACTTATATATGCAATCTTTCTATAACTATAATCTTCTGTAACAATTACTTGTTATATATAGTGCCTATGCTTTATAATTGGGTCTCCTTTCAAAAATTTTTGTTTTCATTATGTACTGCATTTAGACTTAACTACAGGGTACTATATTTAATTATAGGCTTCTTATTTGGTTATAAAAACTAAAATCTTTTAATTTTGCTTCTAGCTGAATTTGAACTATTGATCTTGACTATAAAGGTGTAAGAGCTTAACTGCTAAGCTATGAAACCTACACTCTAGAGTTTTTAATATAAGTTTCTTTATAAATTTTAAATTTTTATATGTTTTTAACTATTAAAAAAACCTTTTATTTTATTTTTTTTTTAATATTAATGGGAAGACCATATCTCTATCTTTATTGAATATTTAATTAAAAATTTACATAAAGTACAATTCTGCTTTTAAAATATTATAGAAAAAATAAAAGCTCAGACTAATTTATCTGTAACCTAAACCAACTGAAGTGGCCAAGGCTCATCTAGATTTGATTGTTAGTAATTATATATAAAAGATTAGTTTAATATTTAATCTATTAAATATGCTAGAAGTTTATTTTTAAACTAATAGAATTGAGTAAAAGAGGATATAATAAAAGTAAAACAGCATTTGAAAATGTATTATATTCAGGAAGTTGAGCTGTAAATCTTGAGATGCAGTATAGAATTCAGATTTTATGATTAATTTGTTGGTTAAAATGAAGTAAGAATATGATAACAAGTGCTGTGACTACTTTTTTAAATGACAAACTTGCAATAATGTCAATGAGTTCATTTGGTATTAAACTGATTAGAGTTGAGAAAACTGAAGATAAGTCTGATATACTGTGAATAGTTATACTACTCAACAGCTTAATTTAATTATATAAATTGGTTATAGTATTTAAAGTAGTAACAAGTGTTTTAGTATTTTTTTTTTTTTTTTTTAAAGAGAGGTCTATCCTTTATCTTTTTTATTAATTAGTTAATTTACATATATAAGATACATGTTGAATAAACTAAGCTAAAAGAGATGAAGGTAAGAGCTACTTTACTCTCAGCTTATACTTTGCTAAAATGGTCAGTAGACCTCTAGTCTATAATAAGATGACTAAGAGAAGATTGTTCATGTATAATGTATGATTTATTTTTTTATTTAATAAGGAAGATAGAATTGGTTTAGTTTTGTTTAATACTGGAATTTGTAATAATAATGAAGTCGAATGAAAGGAGTTATTTTGTATTACTCTGGATGAAAGCCAAAGTTTTTTATATATTGCAAAGATAATGTTGTAATAAATAAGAAGAGCATATTTAAGTTGTGTTTATTGTTTTTAAAAGGTGCTAGAGTGCTGTTAGTTATTATATCTAGTGATATTTGCTTATTGATATGATTTGAGGTAAAAGCTTATATAAAGTTATTTATATTATAACTAGATATTTCTAGATCATTTAATGTTTAGTTCACTGCATGTCTTATTAGAGTTGAAAAGTGCAAATGGTTTTGAAGGCAATTTAGAAGATGTATAATATCTTCAGAAGCACTATAGCATTTTGGACAAAGGTAATTTGAATGTTTAGTAGCATTTCTCTAGTAAAGAAGAAGGTGAGTAGTAATTCC